AGGGTTGAGCAGCAAAGATCTTTTGTTTCCTTGCATGGTGCATCACTAAGGGATGCAGACTGAGATAGGTACACTCTCACATATAGGCATACTAGTATACACAGATATATATATAAACACACCTATAATCACACGTGTGCACTATCCTCTATTTGTGCAAGGTCAGACCTTCTTACATACCTGTGCGTGCCCTCTGGCAGAAGGACACACACTGAAATGCACACATGGCTATTACACTTTCATTTTCCTCTCCCTGTGGGTTGTGTGCTGCACTCCTAGTTTGTACTTTGCCTGCTCTCTTCTCTAGGTTCTTGTGCCCACGCAGGCCTCCAGAAAGTTAGCAGACCCCTTGTGGTACAACTCAATTGGAGAGGCTTCTCCCACAAGGCAGGTGTCTGGGGTCGAGATGCAGCGCCCGATCTAGACTCTTCCCTCTACTGGGTGGCTCCTCTGGGTTCAGATAACAGGTGAGTTAAGGATGGTTTCTCTTTTGCAACCAGGTTCATTCCAAATGTACTCTACCCTACCATGACAGGTTTCTTTGTGCCCCCAGCAGAGCTTCCTCTCTCCATTTTAGGTATGCCCCTGGACAAATTTAGCCTAGGCCTGACAAGTCACCTCCTAGAGCTCCTGTCAGGATTAAGGATGACTCAGATGACCCTGAGCTCCTTCACAAACCTATGTGTCTGAAATTTTTAGTCTGATTGTAATACAGACTGGTTCTACATATTGCCTGATCTCATATCAAGAGCAAACTCTTCTCCACCTTGCCCTCAGAATCCTAGCTTCTTCTTAGAAGAAGTTTAAAGGATGAACTTGAACCTACTTATGACATGGACTCAAAGCTGAGTTTGAATCTCAGTACTTAAGCTAAGTGAGCTTGTAAAATGCTTTAATGTCTCAGATCCATTCTAGCCCTTTGGAAAGTGAGGATAGTTAAATTATGAAGTTATCATGTGAGAGTCCATAGAAAAATGTGAACAGCATAGTCTGTGCTGATACATGTTCTCTTAGATGACAGGAATCCATGATGTGGTTGTTGGGTGTGACAGGATGTGATCAGGAAGAAGCCTAACTGAATCCATGAGATGATGATGAATGAGCCCTTCAGTAACCTGGCAGCCTGGCTACGCAGCTAGGTACAATATACAAACAGGGTGTTTAAAGTCAGTCCATCTAGGAGTATGAGAAAGATCCAACTGAGCAGGAGATTATGGTAGGATAGAATGAACATGGCTTGAACCTGTCACTTCAAAGAGCCTCGGAAGGTGGAAGCTCACCTCGGATTAGTGTTACTGATAACATTGTTTCCAATTCCTATAAGTGCTTTGTACAAGGTAAAGGCATTAACGTGACTTTGCATTTTAAATCATCTCAAATTCTCTGTGGGTAAGGCAGAACTTACTGCCCAAAGTCAAGCAAAGACAACACTCAGAATTCAGGGATAATTTAAAGAACTTTCCAAAGTGACCTTATGAGCATATGTCTCCCAAATCCAGCTCCAGAACTATGTCCTGCTCCGGGGCACTTGGTGTCTCAGGGGCAGGTGGAAGGCAGTGGAGTCTAGCTATAGAAGAGGCTCCATAAAGAAGAAAATAATAGCTATCCCTTGATAATTGCTTACTTTGAGATAAATATTCTACTAATTGGTTTATTAGCATTATTTAGGTCAATCCCAATATCAATGAAATAGATTATTTTGTTATTATTTTTACAGATTTTAGTTATGGGCTGAGTGACTTTGAGCAAATTACCTAGTCTTTCTGAGGACCAGTCTCCTAGTCCATGGGAATACAACTGAAGTTCTGGTGCTTTCTCTATAATTAAATGAGATAATGCAGTCACAGTGTCCATGAGGCATCGTTGAGTTTGATGTCAATGTTATTTCTGTTACTCATTTTATTTTTAACAGTTGTTTTTGGTCCCAGTATATTGTAAGAAAAAAAAGAAAGATTACAAATAGTTTTGTTTGATTCCAAAACTTCCACTATTAATTAGAACACTATCCTGATCATTTTTATTAGCACTGTGAACCCTGATGATTCTGGTGTGGGGTTTGGCCTAGGTACTTTGACTACTACCGGCTGTACAAGTCCTATGATGACCTGGTACTGATGAAGGACTTTGTGGAGAGGAAAATGGGCTATGGTGATGGCAGTGGTAATACTGTGTACGAGAACTTCATGTACTTCAACTACTATGGCACACGTGACATTGCCAAGGTGAATCTCTCCTCCAACACTCTGGTGCTGCAACGCACATTGCCCAGTGCCACCTACAACAACCGCTTCTCCTATGCTGGTGTGCCCTGGAAAGACATAGATTTTGCTGGTGATGAGAAGGGGCTGTGGGTACTCTATGCCACTGAGGAGAGCAAGGGAAACCTGGTTGTGAGTCGTCTCAATACCAGCACCTTAGAAGTGGAGAAAACCTGGCGCACCAGCCAGTACAAGCCAGCCATGTCAGGAGCCTTCATGGCCTGTGGAGTGCTCTATGCCTTACGCCCACTGAGCACCCGCCAAGAGGAGGTCTTCTATGCTTTCGATACCACCACGGGGCGGGAACGCCATCTCAGCATCCTGTTGGATAAGATGCTGGAAACGCTTCATGGCATCAATTACTCCCCCTTGGATCACAAGCTCTATGTCTATAATGATGGCTACCTGATCAACTATGACCTCAGCTTCCTGACCCTGAAGCACAAGCAATCAAAACGACCAGCTTAAAAGCTCTCTTGGCTTCTTCCTGATCACATCCTGTCATACCCAAGAAAACTTCAAGGCCCTGAGACCCCTGGGGAAGAGTACCAGGAGAATCAGGTCATCCTCCTCATATCCAGATGAATCCCAACCCCCCAAAAATGGCCATCACTCCTACTGAATGAGAAATGTTGATTATATCTTTATCATTGATAATCTTTATAATTGATAATTCTGTAAAACTGATAACTCAGTCTTCATATTAAAGTTCTTTTTAGTAATGGCCTAGGTAGATTTGATGGGGTTTGATTGGGAAACAAGTGCTAACAGTAACACTAACAAACACCTCTTTTCTAGAATCCTAGAATTGTAGAAACTTCACTCTAATTTTTAAATCTATTCTGTGTTTTGAAAACAGGGAATCCAGCTCTAACAGTTATAAAATTCCAAGAACTAGGCTTAGTTAGTAAATCTTAGGTTGAGAGTCTCTGATCCCAGTGCAGAGACCCAGGGCAACTGACATTAGAATGGGATATAGAAGTCCCTTTTCTTATCCTTAACCTCCTGCAGGGTACCTGGGAAGAAGAGAGGCAGGGTCTTGGTGTGAAAATCAATGTTTCCCTGTTCTTAATCGATCTCACTTTGAGTGCAATTGAAAGAAGTACTTAGGCCTGAGTCCCATTCTAGGAGGTAAGCAGCTGATGGCTAAGCATGAGGAAGGTCTGATGTGGACTGAGCTGGTGGTCTAGACATTCTCAGTAGAGAATCTTTCAGTGTGACACAGAAAGTCCCCTGGCCAACTGTCTGTAATAGCTTCGCTCATCTTCAACACACAGAGAACACAGAGGCCCAGACACTCCACTTCTGTTACTTATAGATCCCCCACCATTCAACTGCCTTCCATGGAGTCAGATTCCAGACCCCAAAGTCTTCACAGTCGCACAGAAGATACCAGAATACTTCATGCACAATGTCTCATGCTTATACTTCCCCATATACATACATTCACAAATATGCATCCAATCAGACTTATGGGTTCTTCCTCATATGTAGAATATTTCCATCTACATAGACATAAATACACATTTTAACATATTCACTAAGGACATATTCATCTGTGGCCCAAATATAGACCAAGCACTATCCTCCAAACCTGCATGGAATTGAGAATCTGTTTTAGTTGCCTAAACCTGTCCTGGTAGGAATTTTACCATGAATCACCTCCACCATCATCTCTTGATTTACAGACATCTCTCCCGCTAATGCTATGACACAAAGGTGGGCCCTGAAGATGGGGCTAAGACACTGAGTCAAATCTTTCTAAAAGTTCTGCTAAAATGACATGTAGCAAGACCAAGTGATAGGTGAATAAAAAATATTTTGCAAGGAAGGATTCACTCACCTTCAATTTGAAATGCCCCTCAGGGAGCCTCCCAAGCTAGCCTTGCTCCTGCTTTTAGGATAATGGAAAGCTTTCTCCACATGGGAGCACACTTGATGAAATCCAATGTCCCTAAACCTAGAGTCACAGAAAACCATGATCTCCTCTTCCACTTGTGAACTTTGTCCTTGCTCCCCTTTCCTTTGTAAGGCCTCCATTTTTTGAGTTCTCTAACAAAAATAATAAGATACTTTTTATAGGAGAGATTCCATTTTTACTGGTATGCAGTTTTATCTGTGGCTTTGACAAACCCAATTTTCAATAACAAGCCTGCTATCCCAACGGGGACGCACACATAGCACCACAGACAATTCACACACCTCACATAAAAAATCTGGCCTTTTTTTTTTTTTTAAAGATTTTTAAAATTTTTAAAATTTATCTGATACAGAGAGAGGGAGAGCAGAAGCCAACTGAGCAGCAGGCAGAGGGAGAGGGAGAAGGAGACTTGCCGCTGAGCTGGGGTTCAATCCCAGGACTCTGGGATCATGACCTGAGCAGAAGGCAGAAGTTGAACCCACTGACCCACTCAGGTGCAACCCCCCCCATCCTTTTTTATTTATTTACTTTTTTTTAATAGTTCCATCCTGTGAACTTTGTCATCCATTTCTGGAGAAAGAGCTCATTTTACTTTATTATGGAGATGTGGTGACCCACCCCCACACATGCACTCACACAAATATGTCTCCCTTCCCCAGCTGGTCCTGGCAGACTGTGAGACTAGAGTTGACATCACAATATCCCTTTTTTGAAGAGGTTACGGTGTTGGTGGGTGGGGCAGAAGGGAGGGGCAGCCCTGGGTGGAGTCATCTTTACTAAGACCACCTAGTACCAACTATGAATCAGTAGCCACGGACAGGCCTCAGCTAGGCCACATCTGGAGAGCTGGGGTGGGGGGTATAACATCGCAAAATACCTGGCCTGGTCACTCTTCCCTATTTGGGCAACAAGGAAACTAGCCTTTGGGCTAAGAACACGACACCTGAGACAAAGGCCAGCAGAAACATTCGTTTTCCCTCACCCCTTCTGCCCCGGCTTCAACCTGCTCACCACTGGCCCTCCCACTGAGGTCCATGCCGCATGTCATCTCACGAACACCCAGGATGGCCCAGAGTGGGCATCCTTCAGGTTTGTCTGCAGACAAGAATATCTCTTCAAGGGTCACCCGAGTGATAGTGAAGACAGCAGGCAAGCAGGAAGACTTTATAATAGCGGATGACACCTCAGTGAGGCAATTCAAGGAGAAGCTATCTGCTCACTTCAAGTGCCAGATGGACCAACTTGTGCTGGTCTTCATGGGCCGCCTTCTTAAGGACCACGATACGCTGAGCCAGAGGGGCATCCTAGATGGCCACACCATTCACTTGGTCATAAAGTCCAAATGCAGCTCCAGATCCCTAGCCCATTCCTCCCAGAACCTGCTGACCAAAGAGCCCAGCCACCAGGACAGAAACACCAAAGGAAACAGCAACGGGGTATACCAACCTGCCAGTGTGAGTCACACCACAGTGGAATCATCCCTCCTTGTGGAACCTGATGCACCCAAAGTGCAGAGCCAGGACCTAGAAGTAGGTAGTCCAGAGTACATAGCCCAGATGCTACAGAATCCTAGTGTCCAGCAGCTTCTGTCTAACACAGATCTCATGAGGCAGTTCATCTCAGAACACCCAGACATGCAACAACTGATGCAGCAGAATCCAGAAGTCTCCCACATCTTTGACAATTCTGAGATCTTATGGCAGACTCTGGAACTGGCCAGAAACCTTGCCATGATTCGAGAGATAATGCAGATCCAGCAACCTGAAGAGAATCCTGAGTATCCACTGAACCCACAGTCACATTCGGGCTTAGAGACAAGGCCAGGTGGGGACAATGCCCTGGGTCAGACTTATGTGGATTGCAATGACCAAATGCTCAACAGCTCACAAGATCCCTTTGGGGACAACCCCTTCAGAGCTCTCCTGGAAGGACAAGTTTTGGAACAAGTTCAATCCTCACCTCCATCTCCAGCACCACCCCAGGAACGGCGGGACCAGCTCCCACAGCTCCCTACAACCCGAGTCATCTACACTAGTTCTTGTGGTTTATCCTCCATCACCTCAGCCAATGTTAGCCCTAACAGGGTGAACCATACTCCCAGTGCCTACACCACCACTATCTCCAGCAAGGGCCAGAGTCCTAACTGCCCCTTTCAGGAGCCAACTGGGATACCAGCCTTACCTAGCATAGAGCTCACCCAGCAGCCCCAGGCAGAGGATAAAGATGCCACCATCCTTCTAAATAGCTCTGACAAGAAATTAGAGGATGATCTCCAGCCTTCAGATGAGCAGACCAGCTCCCAGATCACGGGAAGCATGATGCAGTTGCTTTTAAACAACCCGTACTGGGCAGCCCAGATGATGCTGTTCATAAGTATGCCCCAGCTGAATGAACAGTGTAGGCAGCAGCTGCCCACATTCCAGCAGCAGACACAGCTTTCTGACATGATTACAGCCCTAGCCAACCCCAAAGCAACACAAGCAATATTGCAAATTGAGCAGGGTCTGCAACTCTTGGCCACAGAGGCTCCTTTTCTTCTATCCTGGGTTGCACCCTACCTATGGGGCCTGGGTTGGCTTCCTGCGCCCAGCTGCAGCTATCCTGACACAGTGCCCTGGGCCTGGGATGTGCCAGATATTGCTGAACCCAAAGATCCTGAATGCTGCCATAAATCTGGAACAGTCCTGCAGAGGCTACAGTCCTTAGCTGGAGACCCTTCCCACCACCCACAAGCCCCTGAGATGCGTTTCAGTCAGCAGATGGAATCTCTACAGGCCATGGGATTTGGAAACCCCCATGCCAATCTGCAGGCACTCATTGCTACTGAGGGGGACACCAGTGCTGCTATTTGCAAACTCAAGAGATCCCAAGGATTCTAACCACCATGCCTCTGTATTTGCTTGTTACTTGCCTGCTGACCCAGTTGACCACATCATCTGCCTCTTCTACCCCTTCTGATGCTTCCATCCAGCAGAAGTCCTGGAAGAGAACAAACCAAACAAAGCTTTCTCCACTGAATAACAGACCATTGGCCATGGGTAGAAGATCTGTCAATAAAATGGCTACTCCCACATGCCCCCATCTGAGGTTTGGCTTTGTTTCTTTTACAAAAAAAAGGGAACTGTGTATGATATCCCTGTCTCACCTATAATACATACATGAGTGTAGACACATACCACATGCATATATTATTATAGAGATAGAGAATCATAGTTGCATACATGGAACCACAAACTCAGATATCATACCATGCTCACATACCCAGGGACATGCATATGCTATGCACACATACACAAGGTCACATAGCCAAAAAGTCATGGATACAGCCACATACATTCAACACACTGCACACATGGCCATAGGCATGCACAGCATACCTAACATGTATATAGACCTACGTGTAGGGGAAGAGAGTCATAACACACTCATACGAAAGGGAAATTTACTATAGATACATATGTAGTCACAAAGACTTCCTCAATTGCCCAAGTCCAAATTGCTCAAGTTTGAAACTGGAAGAAGAATGGCCTGGTGGGCCAGAGTAGGAAAAGTCCACCTTTCAGCCAGGTCTAGGTAAGTATTTATATTCTTTAGGAATCTCTTACTAACTGCCATTGTCAGAGTTGTAGGACTTTGCTGGACTGTTACTATTCTCTCTTTAGCACAGAGAGATACAGTTGCTTATCCTGACTGCATATTCCCACCAAAACTCAGGCATCCGGGGGCATGGCCACTTCCAAGAATACACGTCCTTCAGTGTATCTAATGTCTGTAGCTTGTGTTCTCTGTAGTCAGCCAGGACTCCAACCCTTCCTCTTCCTGCCTCCTCAAGAGCAGCCCAGCCAATAGGTATGTAAACAATCACAGAAGTCAAATATTGTTTCAGGTGTTGATGAAATAGTAGTGACCAAATAAAGTCAAATAAGACAAATAATTTCATAAATCAAATATTGTTTTAGGCATTGAAGAAATAACAGTGACCAAATAAAGTTCCTTTATTTAAGAGTTTACTTTTGTGGGGAGAAGATTGTTTTCTACTTAACCTATGCATAAGGGCTATGAGGAAAAATGAAGCAGGATAAGGTCTTCTACATATAGGGTAATCCGGGATGGCTTCTCCAGAAAGGCAATAATTGATCAGATACCAGAAGAAATTGGGAGAACTGAACACGCACTCCCTTGGGAGAAGTATGTTCCAGGCAAAGAAGGCTACCTAGGAGTAAAAGTGTGAGGTGGGAATATTCTTGATGTGTTTGAAGCATAACAAGGAGATGTTATAGCTGGAGTCGAGTGACCTGAACAATGGGAGGGAAAAGAGGACATCAGGAAGAATTTGGTAGGGTCTGGTGAGGACTGTGGAGTTTACTATGAATGCAGTGGAAAATCCCTGAGGGATTTCAAGCAAACAATGCAGGTGTTTCAGTGTGTGGGTCTGGTTGCCAAGTGGGGAAAGACTGTGCTAGAGGTAGAGCTGTGAGCAGGCACACTAATGTGAGGTAGCTCTTGCAGTGGAGCGGGTGGGAGATGGTGGTATCTGGAGCAGTGGAGGTGGTGATGTGGGTTCAGATCTGGTCTGCAAAGGGTACCCAAAGAAATCTCGTGTGCTCCTCACAGACTACCCTTCTTCCAGCCCTGACGCTGCCATCAGCAAGACTGAAGGGGAATCCACAAAACTCCCAAGTGCTCCTGCAGATCTACTGCCAGACTCCCACTCCCTCCTCAAACTAGCAGAAAGGTCTTAAGAACAAATTATAGCTAAACTGGATTTTCTACCTTCTCATTAATATGCCTCCATCCAATCAATTCAACTTTTTAAAAAAGATTTTATTTAATTATTTATTTGTTTGTTTATTTATTTATTTACAGAGCTCAAGCAGGAGGAGGGCAGATGGAGAGGGAAAGAGAGAATCCCAAGCAGACTCCCTACTGAGCGTGGAATCCAATGTGGTGCTCCACTCGGGGCTCAAAGTGGGGCTTGATTCCAGGACCCTGAGATCATGACCTGAGTGAAAACCAAGGGTCAGATATTTAACTGACTGAGCTACCCAGGCACCCCTTATCCAATCAATTAATATAATTAATCTTTGTACCCTGCTTGCCTCAGGTTACCTGAAAAGCCCAAGCTCTATTGTGTCATCTTTCTGATTCTTATCCCAATATGCTCTGAAAATCCCTCATGTGACCCAATTTTCCATTGGTCATCAATTCTCTGAACTTTTCCACCTACCATTTAGAACTCATAATTTAGCAACAGCAAAACCCTACTTTATAACATTTCCTCTATATGATCCCCACATTTTGCCATAACTGAAATCTGGCTGTCCACTGAGCCTGTACACTCTGTGCTCTGTCCTGTTATGAATAAATCGTCTGTGGTCCAAAATCAAGCTCTCCACTTGGGCACTGATCCCAATCTCTTCAATTCACCTACTCAATAGCTTAGTCTTGCAATTATTTTCTCTCCCTTCTGCATCTTTTATCCTTCCTCATTGTATTGTTCCCATCAGAATAAAAGCATGATGTAAATAGTCTCAGCTTAAGAAAAAACAAAACAAAAGCATCTCTATCTTCACATTTCCACACAGCCACCATAACCTTTCTCTTAGGTATAATACTCTGATTGAATCCACTTCATTTCCAACCCACTTGCTTTTCAACCCACTCCAGCCAGATTTCTGCTCCCTCCTCTCTTCCAAGCCTGGGCTCATCATGGTCCCCATTCTCTTGTCCAACCCAGTGGTTGGTTCTCAGCCTTTATCTTCCTGACCTACCAGCATCATCCAACACCATCAGTTACTCTCTCCTTTCTGAAACTATTCTTCATTTGCTTTGTTCTCCCCCTCTCTCCTTTTTTTGACTTAATGTTTTATTTCTCCTCCATTTCCTTTGTGGAACACATCTAATAGTCCAGATTTGTAAATATGTAGTTCCCATGCCTTAGTCTTTTTATACCTTTATCCTGTTACTATACCCACTAATGTTATGATTCTAAATACCCTGCCAATGCTGATGAATTGCAGACTCACAATAGTGAACTCCCTCCCTTCATGTCCATTTGGGTATAAGATAAACAACTTAAATGTATGTAACTCTGAACTTTGGGTTTTCTGTTTAAAACTTTATTCCCTGGGACACCTGGGTGGCTCAGTTGGTTGAGTGTCTGCCTTTGGCTCAGGTCATGATCCCAGGTTTCTGGGATCGAGTCCCACATCAGGCTCCTGGGGAGCCTCCTTCTCCTTCTGCCTCCCCCCCCATGAATAAATAAATAAAATCTTTAAAACACACACACACGCACATGCACACACACACACACACACAACTCTATCCCTTGGTCTTTTTTTTTTTTTAAATCTCAGTAAGTAGCCAATCTATACTTTGAGTTCTTCTGGTGAACAACAATAATAGTTTTAAAAAGTAAACTAAAAACTTTGTGTCATTTTTGGTCCATTTGTCATACTCTAGATCTTGCCCATCAAAAAGTCAATATGCTGAAGATATATAAAAAATTCATGGTTAATGTTGAATCAGAGAGAAGATAGAAACATAGAATGCCAGGAAGAACAATAATTCTGGGTATAGCTGAATTTGGGTCTTCACAAGGACATGCGGGCTAAGCCTTTCCTAATTGCACAATCCAAGGCTGAGTCTCCACACAGCCCACACAGGTGTGTGGAAGTAGGCCTCTTAGCCTGTGATGGAAGGGTCAGCCTAGGTCCCTCACTGTGAAGAAGGCATCAAGATAAAGGAAATAGAAGAGGTAAAGTGAGGGGTGGCAGAGTTCCTAGGGATACAGAGCACCTTGGAGAGGTCTCAAGAATCCATTGTGTAAGGCTGTGATGTCAGTGCTGAGGTCACAGAGGTGACCTGATGGGGTGAGTTCCGGCCCAGAAGGCTTCAGGGGTGGCTGTTAGCAAGATGAGGGCGGTTTGGAGCCCTGTATAAGAGGCAGGACGGGGCCACAGCTGACTGGTATGTATGCCCCAACCCAAACCCTTCTTCCCACCTTTGCCCTTCACTCACCAACCATAGACCTCTTTCTCAGGTCATCCAGTCTCCCTCTCCCGACCTGACACCTCTTAGACCCATAAATCTCCACAAGCATCCCATCCCGAGACCCTTATTGTCCCTTCCATACTCCCTGTGCCCCCGCCCTGAGACCCCAGGCCCTCTTCCCATACTCCTACTTCAGCCACTGCCCCAAAGGATGATCTTTGTACCCCATCCTCATCCCCCAGCTGTGTCCCCACAGACCTGGGCCTCCTGCTGCCCACCATGGCCAAAAGTGGAGAGGCCCTGCCACAGGGCAGCCCAGCACTGATCCAGGATCCCCACCTCATCAAGGTGACAGTGAAGACGCCCAAGGACAAGGAGGATTTCTCAGTTACAGACACTTGCACCATCCAGCAGCTGAAGGAAGAGATATCCCAGCGCTTTAAGGCCCACCCTGATCAGCTGGTCCTAATCTTCGCTGGCAAAATCCTCAAGGACCCCGACTCACTGGCACAGTGTGGAGTTCGAGATGGCCTCACCGTCCACCTGGTCATCAAGATGCAACGCCGCACCATGGGCACTGAGTGTCCGGCGGCTTCAGTCCCTGCACCAGCCCCCAGCCCTGGCTCATTCCCTCAACCAAGCTCCATTTACCCAGCAGATGGGCCACCCACCTTTAGTTTAAGTCTTCTCACAGGCCTCAGTGGGCTAGGCCTGACCTCGGGTAGTTTCTCTGACCAGCCCAGCTCACTGATGTGGCAGCACGTCTCTGTCCCTGAGTTTGTGGCTCAGATCATTGATGACCCTTTCATCCAGGGTCTGCTATCCAACACAGGCTTGATGCGCCAGCTGGTTCTTGACAACCCCCATATGCAGCAGCTGATGCAGCACAACCCCGAGATTGGGCATATTCTCAACAACCCTGAAATCATGCGCCAGACGCTGGAGTTCCTACGCAACCCAGCCATGATGCAAGAGATGATGCGCAGCCAGGACCGGGCACTCAGTAACCTGGAGAGCATCCCTGGGGGCTACAATGTGCTTCGTACTATGTACACAGATATTATGGACCCAATGCTTAACGCAGTAC